GAGTCCCATTTGTAATACAATCATGTAAAGTACAAAAGAAGTCCACCTCCACATCCCCCAATCCTGATCCCACCGTTACATCTGGATTACAGAGCGAGGAAATGAGCCTGAGGGAACAGTTTAAAACATAGCTGTCATCGGGATAATCAGCATAAGTACACAGTTTGCCCTTTCACATCCTCTTTCTCTACCTCGAACACACTGTCTCAGATCGCACAGCTATTTTCACATGGCAGGAATACAGCGCAGAACAAGTGAGTCAGGCTAGGAGAGGCAAGGCAGTGCATGAGAGAAGAGGACCATTATTCAGCCAGGTTTCCTTGACGACCACCCATAACATGTGCAACAGTTCCCATGGTGATGGTTTCCAGAGTGCGTTATCAGCGGGAGATGATGACTGATTGGGATGAGGACCAGACGACGTCACTGGCAGCCGTTCAGTAATGAAAGGATGGGGATGTGTATGTGCTGCTCTGCATCCCAGTTTATTAGGGTAGTGTTTGGACATTTTGCAGCGATTGGCTGGACATGGAACAGAGATATCCGCAGATCAATGATCAGCCGAGGCAATGATGAATGCACTCAGTCACATATACAGTTTATAACCCCCCATAAACACCCACATCCCCCCAGCTCATGTCCCAGACACACTCACTTCTTCAGTAGAGACAGACTGTACATTAATTTGTTTTGAGCAGGATAAATGGTCTTCTCTTAGCTCTGCTGACTCAGCTTTTTGCTGATGACTTCCCATTCATTGTCAGAGCAATGTTCATCTAATTTCTTACATAAACCACAAAAGTGCATTGAAATACTTTCAACTATTTGGCAGTTTTTTTTTTACTTTTCCCTGCAATGCTCCATTTTAAGTATGCTGTTGTGACACGGGTATATCGTTCTGTTACTGTAGGACTGTAATATTGACAGTTTATGCCATGTAATGTTGAATATTAATCATTGACAAATAAACTCCCATAATCAATTATTTGATGGAGCACGGTGTTTAAGTCTACTAATTTCAGTTTTTCAAGAGAAAAAGAGTGAAAATTGCGACACGTTCTCTGTTCCACCTTCTGAACATTTGAAGAGACTGAAGACTCTTGGAAGTTGTGATTGAATGTGAATGTCCCTTTTCCTTTTTTTGACATTTCATAAACAAAAGGTTTTCTTGATTAATTGAAAAAATAACTGCTACTAAGTACTCGATAAAGAAAAGAATCATGATTTTCTGCCCCACTACATTTTTTTATTAACATAAGATGAATATGTATATTTTCTGGAAATTTTAATGAGGAACAGTTTATAAATAGAGTGAAATAGATCATTATAATAATTAAATACTTGAAATATCAAGGTATTTCATTTCACAATAATGCAGAAATCCACTATAGCCATAAAGAAGGCTTACTCATTAATTTGTAACATAACTCACAGTGGCCTAATACAAGCAGAGATACTGTGATTTTGCACTATAGAAATGAATTTGTGTTTAAAATGTTATTGCATATGGAAATTGCAACATCTCAGGCAGTTGACAAATATAATCTGAAGGTTTAGAAAGGGCTAACAAGTTTGACTGCGAGTAAAACTAAAGCAGTTTATGCTTCATTATTTTATCTCATTTTTTTATAATATCAGGTTGTAGGCTACATTTAGCTGATGAATCTTTGTGTGTTTTAATTAATTTACTGTGATAATTGTGTTTCTTCTACTTGTGTTAAAAAACCCAAAATAAAAATCCAATAAAAGACAAAATAATTAGGCCACTAACTCTAACATGCACAACAGCTAGTCTTAACTAAGTTGCAGCAGTGAGTCTTGCCAACCTCACAGACTGACAAACACTGTCTAAAGTGCTACATTAAGCTAGGAGCTAGCTGATGAACATAGTCGAGCATTTACCCGCTCAAAACTGCAGTAGCATTCTTTGGACACGTGGGGGCAGCGGAAAGAAGTTGTTAACAGCACTGACATGTCAGTTTTGTCTGTTAGCAAACTGTTGCTTATTCACACATCAAGCAGTTAGCAACATTAGCATTCAGTCTAAGAGTCTAATATTCAATCTCTTTTGTGTGTGTTTTTGTCTCTCTTCAGCTGCTAAATGCTAAATGTTCACCAGCTAACATTGCTAACTGCCTGTCAGCTGTTTGGTGCTGAGAGCTGAGAGTGAAGCAGCACAGTAAAGTTATGAGCACGTCAGATAAACAGTGACTTGAAACTCACTTTAAATCTCCATAAAGCCAAGGGAGGCTGCAGCTCCAGGTGATGATTCTCCACAGGTTCACTACTACAAGCAGCCCCTTTCACATTATCGCATTGTTTTCACATTTTCATTTGATGTATTGTTATTATAAAAAATATTGATTAAGTTATAGCTGCTTTAACAGCCAGATATTTCCCTCAGGAACTGGTATATTGCCAAACAGAGGTAAAAGGAGAGTGACTGTTTGACTTACAATCATCAGGTGGACGCAAAGAATGAATGCTAATGTTGCTCTGTCTCTGCTGGATGTGTAAATAACCCACTGTTTTCCTAAGAAGTTGCCAACTGAAAGGCAATGATATGTGTTTGTTGTTTTTACAGCTTGTCCCTCCTGAGAAAAAGTCAGTTGTAGCTGCTTTAAAGTAAACTACAATATGTCACAGTACTCGAGTGAGTTTGTAATCCTTCCTCGATCGCTGACAGCTAGCTTTGGATTATACAAATGCCATGAGGTAAAAGAAGGTCACAGTGCAAGGCTACGCTATTTCCATGAAGAGGTTTGTACCAGCTCTGCACTGGTACCAAATTTAGAAAAGACACGGTGCAAAATATTTGTTCATGCATTTTTTTTGCCAGGACTTGTATCATCACATTTTGGCTGCTGGGATTTACTGACATGTTATTGTATGAGCCTGTATTGTAATCTATGATGCTTCAAGTGCCACTAAGCGTAGCTGATCATGTGACAGAGAGGTTGCACAAACAGCATTTAGACATCATCCTCAGGGATGCTGCATCACCAAATGCATTTGAACATGGCGTTTAGTTGCAGCCACTGACACAAACATAATGTTAAAAAACAAGTACACGCTGTTGTATGTTCACACTAAGCGCATGCATACAGGAAGAACTGAGATGTAGCGGAAGAAGACATGCAGTTTGACATTGTGAGCGTGTGTGTTCATACGTGTCTCCCAGGAAATGCAGAGTGAGTGCTAGATAAAGTGAGATGCAGACATGGGGAATGCAAATGAACCACAGAACAAGATGTAGAGTAATTCCTCATGGGTAAACAACAGTTTAGTTCCAGCCCATTTCTCCATCTTTTTTGAGATGAACACCACCTCACTGAGAAAATCCTGCCTGAGCAAATGTGCATTGTTAAGTAGTTCATATGAATAGAATATAGTTAATTTTTTGAAAATTTATCCAAGCAGGAAAATGTGTTATTTATTTTTTATTCTTCTTCAAGGACATTTTGTTTAGGAGAGCAAATCATCCACTTCCTTTTTCTTTTGAGTGGCAGTCGTAACACTGAAGGGCAAAGTTGTGCAGTTACTTCTCATCCTGATCATCTCATAGAACCTATGACAGGACAGAAAATGCCTTTGTGGAAAGTGTTTCATTGGCGGTCGGGGGTTTGCTTCATTGAGTTGTGATACAGCCCATTTAGACAGAGACGGGGGGGAGGAGTCAAATAACCAAGCTGAGCTGTACATCATCACTTTTTCATTACAGCAAACTGACTTGAGCTCAGTTCATCCTATGCTGCGAAGGCACCACAAGGGCATGCTGTTACCTCACACACACACTGACACACACACACACACTTACACATATAGACACTGACTGGTTCGCATACTGTATTAGCATTAGCGGAAGTTACTGCTGTCTCAAACCGAAGATCAGGTCAGGTCAGTTTTATTTATATAGCCTAAAATCACAAAATTTGCCTTTAAGGACTTTACAGTCTATATACAGTATACAACACCCTCTGTCTATGGGTCCTCAATCTGGGTACAGGAAAGCATCCCAAAAGTAACTTTTGTTACAATATTGCTTAATTTTTGCCACAATATTTTTATTTAAATTGTAACATCACGAAATACAGCCTCCAGCATTTGCATAATATACTGTGAACTTTAGCATATGATAGCTACAGTCACTACAGAACATATAAAATAAATAAGAAATAAAAAGAATAAGAAATCAATTAAAAAGCAAACAAACAAATGCTCCTCCTTTCTTAACAATTGGCAATCTATATAAAATGGGATGTATTAATTATAATGATACAAAATATGTGTTTGGAAGAAAAGAGAAAAAAATATAGAGACATTGCATTGCTCACAGAAATTAGTCACTCACATAAACACATAAATGCTAATTCACTCTCTCACAGAAAGAGTTTAGGATCCAGTAAAATTTGTTTTGAAAATAATCTTTTTGATCATAATCACAATTCTTACCTCTTCCCAGAACATTTTAATCTGTCTACATTACAGTGAAACAATGAGCCCTTAGTTTCTGTATATTTTGTGCATACGTCTGGTATGTTTTTGTTGTATCAATTTAGTTCCACCAGTATAACATGCATCCGCATTAACCATTTATACTGTATTAGTTTAAGGCGTGTATTTATAGACTCAGTATGAGCATTAGTGCAAGCTACTTTCCAGTCTTCATCTGAGATCTCAATCTGCAAGTTTTCCTTCATGATACCCTTTCATCATTTCAATATAGCTTAGTTACTATAGTGACAGGACTGATGTTGCTTTGTGTATGTTGGGTGTGTAAGTAAGCAATAGCCGGCTAACACATTAGCCATAGCAACAGTCAGTGTCAACTAGTTCTGCTGCCTCCAGGATGCTGAAATATCCATTGACGCAATTTTAACTGACAATCTGTGTCAGCAATGTTCATTTTGACAACAATGTACCGGTGAAGCTGCACTTCAGCTGTGGTTGCTGAAGTTTTTGCTAATTAGCCTCTATCTAGCAGCTTGAGCAAAATAGCAGGTCAGCTAATAGAAGCTACAGCAAAACTCTTTGTGTGGAATATTTTCTTGAAGAAATGAGGCCTATTTCTGGTGAAGGTAATGATCTTCAGAGTTTGAATGTTAAAGGAAACTGTTAGTCATTTGAACTTAGGACAAAGCCTAATCAGAACTACATGTACTTACTCTTTGGGGAGTGGTCATTAAATGAAATTATACTGTAGGGCTATTAGTTTTGTAATTAGGGGACATAAGACCATATTTCAAGCATTGTACAGCTACAAAAGATGCTAATAATACACCCCAGGAAATAGTCATAAAACATTTCAACCATTTTCTACACTTCCTGCTGTAAGCACTGACCTCTCTGGTTTCTTTCATGTGACAGTTGACCGCGCTTATGTAACATGGCACTGACAGTAGAGCTGCCTGCCCGGGGTGTTTTCGAACATCCTTAACACCTGCCTAAATAAGAAACACAAATACAGCGAGGTGATACAGGCACACTGTCACTCCCGGGAGGTTTTCTAGCTCCTCGGGCATTGAAATGCAGTGTTCACACTTTGTAAACATTGGTTATTAAAAAAAAATATATAAAAATAAAGACTGCCAGCATTTTCCAGCCCAGACAGTTGCCTGTGCTAGATGAGCTCATCAGGTTAGACGATGTCTCATACTTATATAAGACAATTCAAAGACAAGGAGCTATCACAAGATTGCTATTAATGCATTTTGAATAGTGTGCCTCAGTAACAATGAGGCACTGTTTTGCTCTAAAAAAAATGTATTATTATTTTATTATTGTTATACTGAATTTGTGTCTTTGATGGTCACAAATATTTGATGAAAATGATAAAGTGATGCATTTTTACTTCTAGATCAGGGAAACAGTGAAAAATATATTAATGTGACTGCTTTATAGTTGCTTTAGTTTCTTGCTTTGGTGCCGTTGTTTGTCGTCCTACCTTCACTCTATGGTAACCAGGACAGAATTATGGCACTTTGTTCATCACGGGCCTTGTAACTGTTATCCAAGTGTACAAACGTATTGCCTTCCCCCCTATAAAGATGGGAATATTGCCTCCTTGTACGCACAGCGACAGATGTGTGTTTTAATGGTACTTTACGGCGATGTGGGGCCAAGCAGTTTGCCTTGTGTACTCAGCAGCTCTGCAGATTTTATTAGGGAGGAAGAGCTTGAATCATCATCATGTGCCTTTCATACATGTGCAAAGAGTTCTATAAAAACATGGTGAATCATGTAAACCTCAGAATAGATGCAGGAAATGGTACGTTAATTTAAGTCAGTGATTCATTAAGTCTTTAGAATTGTGTGGAGTCGCTGAGTTGTTGTCATTTCATGAATTATAAAGTCTCAGAGGTCAGCAGTAGTGGTAGAGATCCAGATGGCTTTATAGTGCCTTCCAAGGGCACATTTTCTGCATTCTGGGCTTCAGGTGCAGCAGTGATGTTTTGTGGGAATGGAGCCATAAATGTGTGGCTCTAAGTTTTGTTTGGAGAAGTCCACCAAAACAAATTGGAGCTTGATAATGACTTTTTTTTTATGCATTCTTTCCAGAGATGCTATGATATCAAGTCCTTTCACCGATGATCTTCAGTTTAGCATTATAAGGATCATCCAGGCAAAGCTTGACGAACAACCTGGTAGCCCTGGAGCCCCAGGCCACAATGCAATAGGGGCTCATTTCATTCATATATAATAGTTGCATGAGATAGTATATTGATGCTTAAAACCTGAAAACACCTTTTCACCCCAGTGGAATCATGTTTACAAAAACGGTCCAAAATTCTCCTCGTTTCATCACAAGACTTGAATGATTTGTCCAATGGAAATATTTTAAGCATAATGTTTTACAATAATTGACTAGGCTTGTGTGGCACTGATAATAGCTTAATTCATGATAGATTAAATCTTGTTACGCAACAAGGATCAAATGAAACAGAACATAAAGGCATTTTGTGGTGAGCCCTCTGCAGCGTGGAGCCACGGCGGTTGGATAATGAACTGACTTGGAGAGGCCAATACCTTGTCCTAATGTGACCTAATATGAAATGAAGTGTTTTTCTTTTTGACCAGACCACCAAACAAATTGTTTCTATATGGCACCAGATCAAAAGCAGCACATCAAGCCCACAAATGGTTTTGATTGTACAATTAAAAAAGAGAAGAAGTTGGAATGGGGAAAGTAAATGTTGGCAAAATGACAAGTTAATCAGGATGTGAAGTGATGCCTTGTATTTTGTTGCATGCTAGCACCGAGAACATTATGACAGGAAGGTGATTATTTTTAAATTAAACAGACAGAGTAACACTTCATTTAAAATTCATTTTGCATGTTGTTGCATGCCGGAAAACAGTAAAATGTGACTATGGTGTGATTATTTTAAAAAGGAAAATATGTGTAACACAGTAAAAACAACATGACGATGTTTGAAGCTGAAGGATTTCAGCATCTGACAATCATGCTGTATATGGGCCAGACTCGGGCGTATACTGGGCCAGGAGAAACTGTCATTTGATCATCGGACTACTTTTTGTTCGCTTATTAATTATTTATTTTGCTGAATGCATTTTAGCGATAGCTTTACGTCATGTGTTCTTTGTGCTGTAGCCTAAATGTTGCTGGACCAGCAAGTTTCTCCAATTCCATTTAGTTAGTCTGTCAGAGTTAGGCAGCACTAAAAGTGTTTCGTTAGTCCACTTTAACTTATCAGAGTTTCAAACTGTTTTGCTGCCACAGTGGAAATGAATGAAAATAGAAAATGTGTCGAAATCAACTCGAGAGGAAGACAGACGGAAAGATGCTGACTACCAGAGAATATTATTCTGACCAGTTTTCCTTAAATGTCATTCTATTAATGCAATATTTATTACATATTTGGGTGGCTGAGGTGGCTCTTCCACTTCCTCTCTCTTTATGAGCTCTGCGGAGTTGCTTGGTACACACGGTGGGCTGTTTGCTCCCGTATCACAGAATGATCCCATTAAAACACATCTGTCACTGTACGTAAAAGCAGGTAATGTTCCCATCTTTATGAGGGGGGAGTCAACACATTTCCGTGCTTGGACAACATGATTATAAAACTGCCATAAGTGTATCCTGGCTGGCACACAGGTAGAAACTATAAATCACTTCAGTGAATAACACTGTTTAGTGTTATCTGTGTGTGAATCTGTGGGAGCTCTATTCCACTGATGATGACGTTACAAATAAGTATTCACATGATTAGTGAATGCATTACAAGCAAATCTGAGTGTTGCACATGACTGTATTCGCCTCTCATCACCTCTATCACTCCAAAAGCAAAGGCTGCGATTTAGGCACACACACACACACACACACACACACACACACACACACACACACAGACACACATACAAAGAGGGATCCCCCCCCTCCGGCCTGCTGCTCCACGGAGCTGCTGCAGTGTTTCTGATGGGATAATCTGTGCGTTGTGCTACAGCCCATGTGAGGAAGGGATTACATATTTATTTGGGGAGTTTTCATCCCGCCTTTACCATCTGTCACCAGTAGTGTGGCCATGGGACATTTACAAGAGCTTTATAGTGGAGTGATAGGACAAGAGTGGGTGTGAGAGAGATTGTGTATGAGTGAGTGTGCATGAGTAATAGAGAGAGAGAGAGATAGAGAAAAAAAAAGAAAAGAGGAAGTAGGGAGTGGCAGCTACTGACGGTTGCCTTCTTGACAAGCATATCCCAGGACCCAGCTGTAAACCCTTAGAGCATTAAACCACCTGCAGTTTCACGTGTACCCACAATCCCCAATAACACCTGCTGTGGAAGAATATTCAGCAAAGTGAAAAGTCCTGTGCTTTCCAGTTAAGTCCAGCAGCAGTTGTGTCTGGGACTTTTCCCATGCTCTCTGCTGGGAGAGGGAAGTTTCTCCACATATCCTCTTTTTAGTCTCAGGGTGATTAAGAGCCAACTCAGCGCTGATGTCATAATCTGCATCCTTGTCACTTACATTATAGCTGCGACTTGATGGGTGGTCTGGCTCACTAGGCTGGCTCTGCCTACCTCAAGAAAAGGTGGGGTGGGGGTGGGGGGTTGGGGGTCTGAGAGAGGCTTCAAAACAAGTGACATCATATGTAAAACATTAAGGAATGGCCTGTATTCATATCAAGCTCAAAAACTATATTTCATTATATTTCATTAAATATAATTAGATGTTTGAAACTGTTTATGGTCTGTATTTGTTTCCTGTAATTGCCTTATCTTATCTACCTTTCATCACTAGCTGTTAATGGCAGAGTCCACCTCCTCCACACAGGATGTGCACATTTCATATAATGTGAAAGACAACATCAAATCATGATTTGAGTATAACCATGACAGATGGCTTTGTTCACCGTCTTCTTTAGTTCTTTAGTTCTTCTTTAAAATAATGTGATGTCATGAATCCTCTCAGCACATGTTTTGTTTGGCTTTGGCATAAACAGATATATGAATTATTCTTTTGCTGTTGCATTTCTGACAGAATAATTGCTCAGCGTGTGTTTGCTGCCCCCAGTGGAAACCTGGTACTTGTAGTAGTAATGCAACATTTAATGTTACGACCAGGTAACAGGTGTCGCCTAATTCAGTGGGTCTCAAACTTTTTCACATTAAAGACCCCTACACTGACACAAATTAGACCATGGACCCCTATTTGATGAGATATTTGCTTTTAAATGTTTTATTACAGAAAGTGTTTGAAACCCATGACCAACATAGCCATGCATTCATTGTGTTATTTAAGGATGGAATTGTAGTGAAAATATATTATTCCCCTTTTTGCAGGCCCGACTTTTTGCCGACTGCTCCAGCCAATAGCAGAACCGTTAAGGTCAGAGCTTATTGATGCTGCGGTCTTGAATAATGTAGCCCCGGGGCCCGTTCAATACCGGGGCTCGGTATCCATCCCTAATGCAGATTGCTCATGACCGTGCTCGTCTGATGTCCTAAAGCTGGGTGTTAAACCTTCTGCTAGCTGCTATTTCTAAAATCACATTCCTCTGTCATGCTGGATCAAATTCAGGGCTCATGTCACAATATTCCCAAAACTCAAACTATTTAA